GTAGGGAGACCAGGGCAGGGGTATCTCCTCGTGTGAGCATCGTGTCGGAGACCCCGGGAGAGAGCTGGGACCTGTTATTCTGCCCACCCTGGATTTCAAACCCTGTTCGCTTTCCAAAGATGAACAATCCCAGAGAGGCTGCACGTACCGCAGTTGCTTTCGCCATCCCCCATCTGCACCCTGAGGAAGTTCTCCATCCAGAAGGGGTCACAGACGCAACGCTTGGTGAAGGAGTCGCAGCGCCCATGCTCGGAGCAGTTCAGCTGACAGGCTAGGGACCAAAACCAGCAAGGTGAACTGCACGACTCGCACGTGAGGCAAAAACGGGACAGTCTAGTTCAATACAGCCAGCTCCCCCAGGCTCTGGCTTGAATCTAGTCCCTCTGCAGTTCACCCACAGCTCAGCTGTAATCGCAAGCAGTAAGAAGTGCAAATGCAAGCACCCAGGCCTCCTGCCAGACTAAAAACGATAGAAAGGAAACGTTTCCTTCAGACTGATGAATGTGCTGCAGAGGAAACGAGTACGTTCACAGCTACCAAGAGGTGTAGCTTCACTGCTTTCAGCATGACACTCATGCCATTGGCTGCGTTCCACTAACGCCGCATTTTAGTCTTTTAAGTACCAATCTGCTTTTGATTTTGTGAATTCCCATCTTCCCAGCAAGACTACGAGTAACCGTTTCTGAATGGCAAACAGACAGAATCAGTTGGTAAATAACCGAGTAATGTGGAGCCCAACAGACTTATTTTTCTGTTTCCCATTTACTAACACAGAAAAGCTACTGCAGGGCACGCGTGTGCGCTCCCAGATGTTTTTAACACACACAAAGGTCCTTATTCTGGCAGAAGGGAAAAGACATTAGGTCGTAGCACAGCGACTCGTACTTACTGACTGTGTTAATCTCTAATGCCCTGAAGATGAGGAAGTCTGACTGTTGTTTCCGTAACTCATTTTTTAGTGTCCAGGCTACGTCTCGTCCTTTGAAGATCTGATGGGGAGGCTGGTTCTGCACAAAAAACACCATCTTCGTGCTGGAAGTTAGACAAAAACAATTATCTGCAGCTTCTCCAAACATCAAGTAGAGAGTCATGCTCCTCAGTCCACTGTTAGAGAGACTTATTCAGAATTCCAAATTTTTATTGCACTAAATTTATGTTAGAAGAACTTGCTCCCCTAGGTTGCAGAGCCCTGTGTAGCCTTCAGAATCACAAAAGGGTGCACGGATGCTTCAGATTTATTATTACCAGTGAGCCAATGAGTCAACAGTATATTACTGAAGCCCTTGGAGTATGTGAAAGAAAAAAAAAACAACAAACCAGCAGCCAGGGGAAAAATACCTTTTTTTAAACAGTACAAGTTACTTCGGCAGCTGAGGCAAAAATGGGATCTTAAAGCCATCTGTCAGAAAATAAGCTCTGCTCTTTTATAACACTTCCCACTCTTTTGTCTACAAAGTAAAATTATAAACAGATGAAGCATTAATTACAAGAATCCCCAACCTGCCTTACTCTGTGAAGAACAGTGGCAAGTGGCCTGGTCACAGCACAGGTCGAAAGGTGATATTACAACAGAAAGTGCTGGCTCTTCTGTTCCGAGATTTTCAGGCTTGCACAGACAATAAGTTCTGATTTTACTGCTACAGTGGGCAACGTGGACACAGAGGAACCAACACATCAGTGAACTCAGGGAAGTGTAAAGTGTAACTGCACGTGTATTGCTGACTTGCTGATGACTTGAAGCGCACCCCTTAAATCTTTTTTCAGTGCTTTATCTACCTTAAAGCTATTTCTAGTTATTGTAAAAATTACGTGCAATATCGCACTTATTTCATGGGACTAGTGCTCTGCTGTTAAGCCTGTGGCTACGCCACTCCACGTGCACAGTCAGGCATCCCCGAGCACACCTGCAGTCACGACAGAGCTGCCGGTACGGACACACGAGCTGCTGCAGCACCAGTCGCTCAAGGTTCCTGCAGAGCAGTGGATTTCCCAGACCAGCCATTCGTGGAAAGCTGAACTCGATCAGGTATTTCCAGGCCAGAGCACCATGGCCAGGATCCAGCTAGGCCAAGCCGGCCCCTGCACAACTTGCTGGTTACTCGGAGCTGAGAAACACCATCCAGGCAGGCAACATGACCCTGGCCTACAGCCCTGCCTCCAAAGCAAACTTCTGCTTGTTTAGTAAAAGGGATCAGCTATAGTTTATTGTGGGTTAAACAGCAATCAAGCCCAAGCTTTCCTTATCTCTTCAAACACACGCTCCCAGACAAGCCTTACCTTTGCTCAGTGTACGGCTGGATCTTCTGCACGGTGATGTCCGAGTCGAGCACTCCCAGCAGAACGCCGATTTGTCGGATGAACATTCCCTTCTGCCTCTCAGTCAGCTGGCTGACATTAACATCCAGGATTATCTCCACAAGGTTATTTTTCCTAGGATCTAGTGGGAATGTGGATAACGCAAATAAATCTTTAGAACTTCTATTTAACAGCCTGGCTCCAAGTCAGGTTCCTAGGACCTTTCCATAATGCTTTGCCTTTGAATACAACACTACAGAATCGCGCTGCAGGAAGCGATGCAAGTCTATGACTTTCACAGGTGAGAGCAAGCAGTAAGAGGCAGTCCCCAAAAAACACATTAAAATACAAACACATCCCCCAAAACTCTTGACTTTTACAGTTGGGAGCTGGACTAGACCACCTCAGTACGCTGTATCCAGACAAAGAGAGGACTTGCCAGCGCACGGTAGGTGAGCGGGGTGCAGCACACACCCCAGACTCACCGGGTTTGACTTCCACCGTGGTCCTTTCCACATCGCTCTCTCCTTTGGCATCTGTTACTCTGAGGTGGAATGTGTAGGTCCCTTCTACCAGGTTGGACAGGAGGAGGACAGGATGGTGGTCTGAATTATTTAAGACTTCCTAAAACCCATGCAAAAGAAGCATCAGTACACAAAGGATCAAACTAGCATGCTGTACCATCTTATTTAAGGACATCACTGCAAGGTAAGAGGTGCAACAGTTTTCTCACGACTCTTGTAATGCTGCACACTGCCACTTGAAAAAGAAACCTCACCCCAGCTGCAGGGCTGCCCTCATCCCGGGTCCACAAGTAGCTGACAATTCCCTTATCGTCAGAGGACTTCGATCCATCCAGCTCGGCTGTATTTGTGGGCAAGGTGATGACCACATTACCAGCAATCTTTGCAACCGGCGGCTTGTTTATCTCTAAGCAAACAGAAAAAGAGCAGTTGGAGAAAAAATCTGGCAATACTGCAAAACTACTGCATTAGGTCTCCACAACAACCCGCGGCAGGCAGCCCTGCTCAGGGCTGCACGTACCTTCTTTGACAATGACATTGACTGAACTCTGGCTCTGCAAGTTCCTCTCGTCTTTGACTGTCAGAGTAAACTCGTACGTCCCAACTTGAAGGCCTGTGACAGTGGCAACACTGCTGTTGGCATTCTCCAGTTTGACACCATCCGGGCCCCTACGCAAAGCACAAGGGCATCAGCTGGAACTCTGCACAGGCCACAGGAGCCAGGCTCACACCAAACTGGGGGCTCAAGCTCAGTTTGTGGGAGTGCAATCAGACAGTTGGCTGGAAATACAGAGTCCACGACAAAGAGCAAAATTATTTTCTCCAGTTACAGCAAGATAATTGGAAGAGTTAAGTGCAGTATGCAGAACAAAAACCCTTGTCTCATTCTCGTCACCAGGGAGCTTGTCAGGCTCAGTGTGGCCAGGATTTAACACCAGGGAGGTACGCAGGGGTGTGTTTGAATTGAAAGGCCCAGGTACTTGCATAAGAACAGTCCAGGAGCTGATACCCACCGTGTTTTCTCCCAAAGAAAGGAGACTATCTTCTGGTCATCTGAGCTCTTGCTGCCATCTAGAGTGGTGCTGTCCACAGGAAGAGTTAATTCTTTATCTGGACCAGCATCTGCTTTTGGAGGCTTATTGTTCTCTGAAAAACGATGCAATTGTTTTAATACACAAGCCATAAAAGGTGACGCTTAAAACCCCAGCATAAAAAAAAAAGTAAAAAATGTTCTCCACGGTCCCTAGTTTATTTCTTGCCCACTATCTCAGCATTGTGATCAGAGAAAGTGAGGTTAAAAGCCGATTTTTGCTCTCATTCTCTAAGTACTACTCCACTTTTCCCGCTCCTGTCGCAGGATCTAGCACTGTGGGCAGAGACAGCTGGTTGGAAATACAATCCTGCCATTACGGTGAGATAACGTCAGTTAAACTACACTGGGTAAAATAAGAGAACAGCCTAGAAAGGCAAGATTCCTAGAAACTTTCTATTGTTTGTTCATCAGCCCAGCACGGTCTAGAACTAGAGCAGCTTTTCTGAAAGCAGCACCAAGCTCCCTTAAGATCCTCAGGACATGCTGACAGACCGGTTGTCACCCCTAACTGGGGGACGGAAGCAGCGAAAGCAGCTGAAGGCAGCTCACCTGGCTGGACTATCACCGTGACCTCCGCAGTGGACTGGTGCCCAGCAGAATCCGTCACTATTAGCTGGTAAGTGTAATCACCTTCTTGCATTGCGGAGAGCTGCAAAACTGGTGTCCTCACCCCCTTTGAGAAAACATATTCACATATTAAAAAGAATTCCTATGCAGATGATGACAGACTAGAAGACTCTGCTTCTAAAGCAACTGTTAGCAGCAGATTCTAGGGGCTTATTACCAACTCCTGCCATGGGGCCAGAAGTCTGGGCCGTTCAGACACGCAAGGCACAGCTAAATTTACGCAGAGCAACAAGGACTATGTGGAACATAACAAGAGGAATGACAGAGGAGGTCAAGACTTTGAGATTCAACAGTTAGCAACACAGGAAAAACCTCTGGGGAGTCCTGTGCAAATCACAGACACCGTGAACCTAATTCACGGACTTTCTTACTCTGGATTTAATTTTCAGTGTACATTTAATCACCACACGCTCACTCTGTAGGATTATAAGAAACATTTGCTAATGTCCAATTCAAAATTATTGTATTATAGGAAAAAAAAAGCCAGCTAGTGAGTAATCCAGGCTGAGTATCAGCGACCTGCACTGACCTGCATCTCCATCACCTTCCCTTTGCTGTTAGGGCTGAGCAGCCACTCGTAGCTGACGATGCTGTGGTCATCGGTGCTCTGATTGCCATAGAGGGTGATGGAGTTCTGAGGGAGGGTGATCACTTGGTTTGGGCCCGCATTTGCCACTGGAGGATAATCCACAGCTTTGTTCACGGTCAGGTTTGCAGTGGTGGAGTTGCTGGCACCATCTGAGTCCACCACAGTCAGGCTGAAGAGGGGGTGGGAAGTGAAAAGCGTTGAAGAGTCACGATTACCAGGATTATTTATTTTAAATGGATCTGCTAATGCAGTGCAGGGACATCACACCAAAGGAAAAAACACAGAACAAACACCGAAGCAAGATCAGCCACTATCTATGACTCAGGTACTGCATTAGGCCTCATTCACTTATCTGGGACAAACAGACTGCATTTAAAAAAATGGATTTAAAGACTGCATTTCTTCCTTAGCCAAATAGTTTAGATTTGACATTTCAAGAGACATTTTGTAGCACTGGCAGACCATTCATCCTCTTCTGCCATCTTAAACTGGTGCTACAACTTAAGAATAAGAAGTAGCTGGATACTTTATCTCTTCCGAGGTGACAAGTTATGAAACTACTTGAAAGCACAGGAGCAGAAACAGAGAGTGCAGCACAAAACAGAGTTCTCCCTCGTTGTCTTTTTTTTTTTTTTTAAATAGACTAGCACTTTAGCAACCTTCTACATTTTACTCTTAGGGGGTGAGAACTAATCAACTCTTCCAGGTACAACCTACCTGAAGGTGTAGTTCCCAGGTACCAGGTTGGTCAGTGTCAGTATGGCAGTGTCGCTGGAAACCTTCTCCTCCCGCAAAGGGCCCTTCAGCTCTTCCCAGTGATAGCTCACAATTCTGTCATCATCGGTGCTTTCTGTTTCAATTAGGGAAGGAAACACACATCACAAGGAGTTGGAAAATGCTGCTTCACAAAACCCAGACGCCCAGTTCCCGACTTCAGTACTGGGCAGGTACTCACGGCTGCCGTCGATAACAGTGGAAATGGTTGGCAGTGAAATCTCCTGGAACTGTGGGGACACGATGGCAACAGGAGGCTGATTCACCCGAGGCTCTGCAACAACAGCCAAGCGGTTACAATGGCATCTACAGGCAGATCACACCGAAAGCCCTGCCCAAGCAGCTCCGTAAAACTACTCTGTCTTCGTGTGCCTGGAGCAGCACAGAGAATAAATACTGTACATCCTCCTCCCACCCTCTCCAGCCCCTGTCCTGCAGTTCAGGAGAGGAGCATTCAAAGACTCCATTCTAATGGAGCAGCACCTAGCGCTTCTCGCCAAAGTGTGGCTGCCACTCCGAAAAGTGACTGATTTTGACGCGTGCTGCCAGCTGCAGATTCACTGCTTATAAGGAACCCATCAGCAACAGCACCCAGAAGGCCAGCCACACACTTGCTAATTTAAGCAGTGCAAGAGCACTTCTTTGCCCACAAAGGTTGTAGAAAAAGTCTTGCTGAAGCGTGCAAAATAAAGTGGTTTTTTACAGAAGAGGATCTATAGTTGCCCCTTTACACAGGCCATGTAAAAAGTGAGACCTGGTGCACATACATCAGCTCATCTGCAAACCATGTCCGACAGTACGGAAGGAGATTTGACTTGACCTGCCTGTGGTGGGGAATGATATTCATTACTAGACAGAGAATAAAAGAACCTCCAAAGGACCTTCAAAGCTCTGGCATCCCTTCATTTCTTGCTCCTGCTGCTAAAAGGTTTTTCCCAATTACAGCTAGTTTTTAGTCTCTCACGGTTTGCCCAATACAGATGAAGTTAAGCAAAGACACGACTCCATCAACTCACTTGGATTCACTGTTACGTTCACGTAACCCTCTCCATGTGCGTTTTCCCCATCGACGACGACTTTGAATTCGTACAGACCAACAGTAAGCTGGAAGCAAACACAAAAGGTTATTTACCTTCGGGACGGCAGCACCTTGCCAGGAGCCATCAGAAGGTGACGTTACCACACACCGGCACAATCTCACATGAGCAGCACAACCAGGAGCAGTCACGCTTCAACCTACGCACACACAGCAGAGAGGGGTTTCCATGCCAAAACGGCGTTACATAGCTCTTACAACGGCCACAAAGAAACTAGAGACTAATATCTCCTTCTACCACAAGACTGTTGGCCCTAAGCTTTATTTTCTAGCAACAATAGGCACAGAGAAGAGATAACGGAGATGAGGTGGGGGTGCCTGGCCACAGGAATCTGTACTAGCAGGCTGCAATCGAGATGAGAAAGGCTGCGTGTGAGAAGAAAGCATCTTCTTGGGTGTTCTAGCAAAGGAAAGCGTTTCTTCTCTTCCATCTAGGTGACATGAGTCTGGCAGTCACCTCGTCACCATTCACTGCTGAGAGAGGGCAAAGGACTAGGCGCTGGGTAACAGTGACGATATCCCAAAGGCCGAAGCCTCGACACACAGACATGCTTCTCTCTGCAGCATATTGTGACTAATGACTGAAGATATTTTTCCGAGTGCAGCAGAATCCAAGATGCTCCAAGGAATGTCTCATAAACACAGAACTGTATATTAATGCAATACTTAAAGCCATTTCCTTGTTAAGAATTCCCACACGCAGGAACCGGCAACCCTTTCACTGTCTGAGCTTGCCCAACAGCAGCAGCCAGGGACATGCTCTGAGGAACTCCGCAGCTCTCCCTGACGGGATCCCCAAGTCCCTCTGTGAGGGGAGAGTACAAGGCTTCAGCCCTAACAAGACCACCACCATACTCAATCCTTTGTTAAACTGTGCCATTTGCATGGCTCGACACACTGCTCGTGGGCAGCTCGCAGATCCTGAAATCAAATTTCTTCTTTCCCTCATGCCAGATCAATCTCCTTTTCATAAGAGACTTAGAGGGGGGCTTGCAGTCAAACCTTGGCTGCCTGCCCATTGTGCAATTTCCTATTCATCCTGAAATCACACACAAGTCTTTCCTGGCTGCCAGGGTCCCCATCTTCTCCACTTGGCACTTAACACAGTAGGATACGAAGCAGCAAGAGCTTTACCTTAGATAACTTGAGGGTCTGGGAGTGCTTCCCTTCCATTTCTCCACTGTAGTCTTTCGGATGAGTGATCAATTCCCACTCATAGGAATAAGTGGTTCCTTAAAAAAAAAAAAAAATAAAACAAATACCTGGATTTTTCTAAGTCTTTCTGCCATGCCTAAAGAAAAGCAAAGGTATTAAACATTTACAAGGCACATTCTGCTGCACTATGGAGAAATGAGACAGCCTGGAATTTCGGGCTGCAGCTTTTTGGGAATATAACCAGGAAAAGAGACAATCTGTGCTTCTAAACGTATCTACTCTGGAGCCAAACCCCATCTTTCAGCCTCTAAGGCATGAAAGAACTTTGGAACAACCACAGACAGCTCCAGGACAATAAAAAAAGTCCTATCATGCCCTCAAATCCTGCAGATACAGCATAACGTCACTTTTTGACTGGTGATGTATCTACCCCTGCTGCTGCACAACACGACCTGCTCGCCTCTCCACTGCGGGCAGATAAAACCTTCACAAACATCCGTCAGTGACAGGCACGATGAAATGAGGAGTGTATAAAAACGTGTTCCTCATCACATCAACCCCCCGAACCCGATTCCAAGCCACCAAACCAGAGATCATTTGCCAAGACCCTTCGTCACCTATCGGCAAATATCCCAAACAGCTGCTGGTTCCTCACACCCCCTGCGCGGAGCACTCCACCTCCCCAGCCTAATGACTGTGTAGCACTTCCAGTGGTTTTTTGTGTCTTGCTATTTCCTAAAGTTCTGCAGGAAAGCGTGCTCTGACAAAAGACATTTTCAGGATTGTCCTATCTGCCATTTCACCATCACAGGCCCTCAGCACAATTCCCAGGGGAGCCTTACCAGGTGGTGGCTCAGGAAGCACAAACGCATTCAGCTGAACTTCATTCTTTGGCAGGGTCACTTCGACGCTGTCTCCAGCGGAAACCACCAGCTCCTTCATAACTGAGAGAGGAAAAAACACACAGAATTGAAAGAGGAACAGGAAAACGATTAAACACGTACAAAAACCCCACCTTGGTTTCAGAGCCTGCAGAATAAAAAACCCAGCTACAAACGGCTGTATTGTGTAAACACCCCATCACTCAAGACAGGTCCTGTTTCAGGTTTCATTCTCATCGTTAATGCAAAAGCACTAATGGGGTTTTACAATTTAAGACAAGCCCAGAATTACTCAGTCATCTCTCTCCTGGCAGATATGGTGTGGGGTCCTGCTCCTTTTCTGGAGACAAAACATGACCCTGTGGCACTGAGCAGGGGAATCTCCTCACCAGGGAGGGTCTTACCCGGCGGGGTTTTGGCAGAGAACCCAGTGGCAGCCTCGTGGCACAGCGAGACAAACACTGCTGGTTACCAAACCGCAATTCCCCATCTTCACAAACATACGAAGAATCCACGGTATTTCTTTCTTCAGAAACTGCTGGGGGGCTAAAAGATGGGGCTTTTTTTCCCCCCACACTGAGTATGGAAACTCAACCTGCAAACTTGGTTTTATTTGTATTTTCTTTTCAACTCCTGCTTAAGAATTTTCAAATAAATTGACAGGTAGTTTGTTTTTAGAGACTACAGAGTAAAGACTTGAAAACTACAGCCAGTGATTTAAAGTTACTTTATCCCACGTTGACCCTGTCAAAGACAATGGCTCAGAGATGAACACATAAAATCCAAGTTGAAAAAGATGCGGGAAGTGTCACTAAACATTTAACCTTTCCTCTATCTGCTTATAGCTACTGGAGTTAAACAGTTAAAGAAAATAAATCCATCAAATTTTTTTTCCCCCCTGTCAATTACTCTCAGACTTGGGATATTGTAACTCTGTTGGTCTTTCAGCTGCAAAGGGTTCTAAGGCAAAAAGAAATCTGATCTCAGTAGGAAAAAATAAAAATATAAAAACCCAAACAGACAAAAAACCCCAAACCCTGCTTGGAAAAACTACGCTTCACGTCATTGTTGTATTATTTAGCAAAACAAGGAGGCCCTGGCTACATTACTTTTCCAACACAAGCCACTGAGGACATTTAAAATATATTTTCCAGTTTTAGCTGGGATAAGCCCTTAAAAAGAATATTAACTTGTTAACACAGGCACCCAATGAGCTTCCTGCCAAAAATTTCTTTGGATGCAGCATTTCCTTCACACTTTCATTTGTTCCCTTGTAAGGAAAAGGAACCCTAAATTCAAAGGATATTCAGTCGTGAATACTTCAGCTAACGGGACCGTGCACTGACAGATCAGGGACAGAAGGGCAAAGAATCAGGTTCACCCCATTTGAGCGGACATTAAGATTTCTGCTCAGCTTGATAGCGGCATGTCAAGACAACTGAAAGAATGCTTCACGGGACTATGCCTGCCACCACGTCTCAACTTTCACTCAGGAAATTACGATAGCACCATTATTTTTGAGCTGCTCACTGGAACAGATCCAGCACTCACGTGCAGATTTACAAGACCAAAATCCCACTCAAGACCTAACAGGGTCTGTCCAGTGCAGGCACCAAAGCGTGGACCTCAGCACTTCTCCAGGTGTGCCGTCATTTCTGAAATCATCTCCTATTTTTCAGTGTCGCAACAGCGTGTCACCAAAACCCCAGGAGCCAACATGTGCTGGAGCACTGTGTCCCCTCACCTGGCGTGGTGGCGGCAGCAGTCGGTGACGCCGCGGTGCTGGCCGGGGCCGTGGGAGCGGTGCCGTTGGTGGGGATGCCGCTTGGCACAGAAGTCGCTGCCTGTGCCTTTGCTGTGCTTTTTGCCGGCGCGGGGCTCGCTGTGGGCACTGCGTCTGAGGAGTGAGGGTGGACCAAAGCATCACCTGCCTGCCCGGGCTTCTCCGTCTTCCCCGTGGCTGGGCAGCCCTGTGCTGCAGGACTGGAGAACGTCGTCAGCGCCGATGGCTCTGGTGCAGCTGTTCCTGCGTGGGTCTGTAAAGGAAAAAGTTGCCTTAGTTTGACTTGAACAGGGACTATCACTTTTGTTTTGCTGTGTTTAACTTGCACTTCACCTTCTCCAGTTAGGGCGGCTGAAAAGCACCTGGCTTGGTTTTTCTCCAGAAGCAGAATGTTTTTCTGCTTCCTCTTCTCTCTTCTGAATTGTTTCTCCACGTTCTTCTTCCCCAGCAGCCAGGCCATTTCTAGCCCACTCAGTACCAGTTAGGAGCACAGATTTAACTACTACATCGTAAGTACCAGAGCTGTTGATGTAGCAAATGTGACAGAAGATCCAGATTCAGATTTGCAGTAAGCGGAGCCAAAAGAATAGCGAGGTCAGATAGACAGAAGCCAAATAAACAGGGACCAGGAAGTGGGGTTTACTTGGGCCATTGATTTGGGCCCTGTATTCCTTTTTCTAAAGCTGTGCAGTGGGCAAGCACAAAGCAGGAGGACTGCAATGGCATTTTTATGTAATAATGGCATCATTGCAGCAAAAGGAAATATATTTCAGAACGACTCTTCAAAGCAAGGTGACCTGACAAACAGTTCCCTGCGCGCACGCCACAGGAGATGCTGCTGGGGCAGGGAGCTGAGCTCGCGGGCAGAACGTTTGCTCGCATCCAGGCAGGATGAGCCACTTGATTGAAAACAATCAAAGGGGCAGGCACAATTTCCGTTCGTTTATCACAACATTCCTTCCACAGTACCTAGTCCCATTCCAGCTCTTCGCCTGCCAGGCAATCCTCTTGACAATTCACCTTCCACCACACGGTCCGTGCGTGCAGCACATTTTCTTGAGCTGACTATTTTGAGAACATCTGCTAAATATTTAAGATAGAGCCACTTATCTTTGACTTGGGAAGTGTTTCAGAGCCGAACTGCCCATCACTACTCCCCACTAGAAGAGCTGATCAAAAGCTCGTATTGGAGGAAATAACCTCAAGCTTTTACACCATGCTGCTGGCACTCGGTCGAGCAAATAGGAACTGGGACGCTGCTCTAGACCGCAGTGGGCAACATCCTGCTCAGTAAATGGGCTGGCCTTCAGAAAACACTACGTGCAAACTGTAAAAATAAAGCCGCGCTGCACATATGGCCGGCTGAGCCAAGAGCACCGCAGCCCAGTCTCCACTTTGCCTGCTAATATTTGCAGTGAGCCAGATGCTTCCTTGTCTCCCTTTTTTAATGCCTAAAATCCCCCCACTTCACAGTTAAGAGAGATCTTCTTCCTCCCAGAAGTCTTCAGGATGAATTGACAGCCAAATGTCTGCTGAGAGCTTGAATTAGATAAGCTTTGCCTGGGGCAACATAACAGTCAAAAATGCCTCTAATGCTTGCAAGCTGAGACATTTCTTATCTTTACTCCATAACCCGAAATTCTTTAAAGCAAAGAACAGAAGATTTCATTCCTGGGGATAAACGAGAAGGAGACTAGAAGTTTGCCAGCTGTCCTACCTTATTAGTTTAGAAAATATAAGTGGCATATCGGCCTGAGGGAATGCAGGAATATCAGGCACTTTTGATTCCGACCCCTGACTGCCTTTGGTCTGGGACAGGCGACCTGATCTCCCTGTGTGAGAGTCCTGCACCTCCAAAAGGAACCAGAGCAGTATGTGCACCAGAATATGCACTGAACTTAAGTTCCTTGAAGGAAAAATCCCAGTGTTCTGGAATTTTCTTTTTTTTTTTTTTAATTTAAACTGGTCTTACTTCACTAAACGTGGTCTGACTTTACAAAGCGGGCTCTTTTCAGGTTAGATGGCGTCCTCAGGTGTGTGCGCTAGGTGCTGTGCCTGTGAAGACCCTTAAGACACAAAAACGAGCGATGCTGTAAACCGCTACCAAGTTAGTGCTGCCTGCGAAGAGAGACCTTTCCTCCCTCCTCACAGGGCGAAAAGCACCCAGCACCACCAGGGAGAGCGTGACAGCGAGAGTCAGACACTGAGCTTGGTCCCAGACCTGTGAGAGCAGAAATGAGCTCTCTGGCTCCACTTTCAAGGCTCAGCCTCTCCCAGGCTGCCTGCAGAGCTGCTGCAGTGCTGCTGCAGCCCTTCCCTCAGCAGTGCTGTGCTTCAGTACCTCTCCCAGTTGGCTGTGAAATGCATCGCTACATTTTAAAAGTGACAGGTACTTCTGGCAAGGAGGCAGAAAGCAATTGGTGCCTGGAAAATGCCACTCGCTTGAATAGAAAAGCACAGATTTCTCTCCCTTAGTTAAGGACCGATGGGTAGGATGCACTTAGTTTACCCCAGTGCACTCTCCTTCACCCATCTCTGTTTCCATCGCATGGGTGCAGTAAAACCACAACTTGCTGCTGGCTGCACGTTAGCAAATGACACCGCAGATGGTTCAGAACCACGAGAGGAAAACTGAAACTGTGTGAGGCAATGTTTTCCTAAAAGTGCCACGTGACTTCTCCCCGAACCTCTGGGAGCCAAGGAAAAGATTTGACTTCCACATATCCAGTGCTCACCAGCAGAAGAGGAGAATCTGCACATTAATTTCTTCCTCCTCTTCTGGAGAGGTGTTCAGAGCCACTTTGACCTCAGGTGTCCCTGCCCATCTGAGACGTACGATGCTCTCGGGCAGGCAGTGATGACCCAGTAACTCTCTCCCCTTCCAGCCTGCCTGTACAGAACGCGGCGTTAACGGCTCAGCATCCACCTGCTGAAGCCACGTGCTCCATGGACCGGACCAAATCTAGCTCAGGTGAAACTCTACCCACTTCAGCGTGTGCGTAAAATGACAGCCAACCCAACCTGGGAAACTCCCTGCTTTAGCTTCCCTCCCGCAAAGGCTGCCCGTGTCCCAGGTACACAGCCTTGAACGTTACATCCTTGGCCTAAATCGAACTGCCCACAGATCAGAAGCGCCAGGGCAGCTGCACAGCTTGCCTTGTATTTTGCAGGGGAAAGCTGGATGGTTTGATAACCAAGGAATTAGCCCAGGGCTGGGCAGAACCAGCTTGGCTCCATACTCCTGTTAAGGTGGATTTTTAAAAATTCTTTTCCCCTCTTCAAAAAACTCTATCCTAAACCTCAAAAACGTGACTGCCGGGAACTCCATCACAACCAATGTATTTTAGAAAGAAGTTTTTGTTGTGGTGATCCTACATTTTGTCAAGAGATAGGGACTTTTTTAGTAAAAGCCAGTAAGCAGAAGAAAATCTGTTCCCCAGCGTACCTCCAAGCGTGCACCTTAATGACAACGGGAGCGCTTCCGAACGATGGGAAATCCCGGATACTGATTAATCCACATAACTCAGTATTTACAACCAGTTTACTGGACAGACACGGAACAGCAAAAATATGACAACTCAGAAGGCAAAGCTGCAAACTGAACAAGCAGGGAGACAGAACGACTACTACCCATGAGCAACGGAAGACATTTAAGACTGGCTGCGAAGAAGCCTCCCCAGACATTGCACACATAACAACTGAAAGAACGAGGTCACTGTGTAAAACTCAAATATTAGGAGAAGGAAAGAACAGGCAAGGTGGAAATGCTGCAATACTGCAGGGGAGAGAGAATGCTGAGATCTTGAGTCAGCCCTAAACGGTGTGGAGCTCTGGAAAAAAAAAAAAATCAAACATTTGTAAAGTTTTAGTGCATGATTTCACACAGCACCCGGGCTGCCCCGGAGCTCTCGGCAGGTTCCCTTGGCTGCTCTCCACATCCTGCTCCGTGGGGTGGTGGTGGCTCAGGCCAGTCACAGCCCTACCTGGAACCCGGGTTTGAATATGACGAAGAGAAACAAATCCAGTCAAGTTTCCAGAACAAGAATATAACTACACAAAAGGCATCAGGCTTCCACAGCGCTGTGGCAGAAAGTTGTTAAAGGAACAGTTTCACAAAGTGGAATTCTTTCATTTCACCATCACATGTATGATAAGGCTCCAAAACCCGCCTGCAGCCCCACGTCAGCCCCAGCACTCACACTGACCTGTGCTAAGGCGACACCATTCGTGTCGCTCGATCTGCTCCCGTTATTGCTTTTAGTAGGGAAGAGGCTTTTGGTTTTCTGCTCTCTCCGATTCTCTTCATTTTTCAGCGAGTCTTTCTGTTGATCCGGACGGCTCTCAGGAACAGGCCTGTCTGCCACCAAGTGCCTCAGTACTTGATCCTTCAAGCGTTCTGCTTCACTCTGGCCACTTCTAGCTTTGCTGTCCAACGCTCTGGCTGCAGCCTCGCCGCTGGGGCTCGCTGCTGTGACCCTTTGCAGGAGATCCACCCCGTTACCTGCCAAGTTCCGCCTCTGGAATGACCTCCGCAGTCTTTTTTTCCTCTGGACAGGGATGCCCCAGTCCAACCACTCATGAAAGGAGGTCTTCAGGCCAACTTCCATTCGAAACTTTGAGAAGTGCTCTGTGCTTTCTAATTTCTTTAAAAAAACCAAAACGGAGTCAGAAAACCCAGTCCTGTCTGCTTGACATGCGCCAGGGGTGGTGCAGTTCACCTGGATGCACATATTTCCCAAGAACCAAACGGCATCACAGGTGGGGCTCTGGCAGCAAGCGGCCTGACAGGACCAAACCGTGTGAAATCCCTCCAGGAGCTGGAGATCTTCCCACGACCTCAGACGGCCACCAAACAGGATCTTCCCCGGCTCGCATTCAGAGCTGTTCCAGTTTGCACCTGGGAAATGGGAAGGAAGACAAAAGCAATTCTCAAACTTTCAAAGCAGTCGACAGCAGATCCTCATCACTACTGGCAAGATGAATTTAGGGCAGAGGAGTGATGGGGGAGATAGGACAGTAAAAGGAGGGCTTCTCACAATCTACACCTGCCCTCTGTACCCAGTACTTACACAAGATTTTAAGCCACAGTCTGTACCTCCTACTAAAGGGACCACCATGGAGCTAAAGAAACAGTGACACCAGCTTGGTCCATAGTACAAAGGCATTTTTAAATCTTCCACGCTGAAGTTTGAGGTCAGTCACTTATTTTGACCAAAACTGATCCACTGAGAAGTTGTTACACCTTTGAGAACAGAGGTTTGCAAGGCCTGTCCTCACCACCTGCACCACCACGGTGCGTTCTGTAACAGAAACTATGTCAAAATGGCTTTTTTTAAGAGCCAAGTTATTTCAGATCAGTGTTAAAGCAACAACTGCTTTGCATATGGATTTTTTTTTTTCCTTAGCATGAAAATTCAGAGTGCTGCTTGCAGAGATCAATGGATTAAAGGCTTCCAAAACCCAGCTCTGCAGATTAAGGACTCCCTAAAAATAGACTAACGACCTATGGGACTGTTACACTGTGCTGTGTTCAGCATCCAGGGGATAATAGGTCACTGGAAGATTACTTCACAAACTATGCTGCTGGACTCTGAGGAGTGCAGCTGGAGAATATGCTCCAGACCCGGCTCCCTGCCTGTCAAGAACGGAGTTCTTCAACACAACACAAATGGGAAACTTTTATCTCCATTAAGATATTAGAATTAACACTATTGCTGTGGGTTAGCCCTTCAGACCCAGTTTAGCCTGAAATTTTTTTTTAAGAAATCCTGTTTTGTTAAAAGTGAAGCATTGTCCCCAATATATCCTGTGCAAAAGGTAAACGTGCTGCTTCCCACATCCCTAAAATCCCTCCCCCTCCTCAACTGCTGCTCGCACATCTCTCCTCAGACATCAGTCCTGGCTCACACACACCACCCAAGTTAAGGCCTGACACTCAGCCTGTACTTGCATTTCATCTCTGGAAAGACAAAAAGCTTTCTGCCAAGAAAATCGACCTGGCCTGTTCACAAAGCACTTTCTCCCCAGGAGCCCAGAGGAACACATCATAGGTCACCCGACCTGTTGTGACACGAAACCACGTGTTGCTACTCATGGTCCTGGGAACAGGGACCCGCACAGAATGTGGGGCAGCACCTGCACCAGAGGGCAAGCGGCAGCAGTTACTGACTCCTTACTGAGAGCAGCCTGCTCAGTCCCCTCCTGCCCCGTGTGCCGGGCCCTACGCGAGCACACGTGGCAGTCGCACGCAGGGACTCGTCGGCTGGGTCAGACCAGTAGATCCGGTCCCCGGTGGGATCAGCGCCAGCAGTGTAGGAGAAAAGCACGAGAAACCCGTCAGCAGGA